TATGCGTTGGTCCCTTAAGGCTTGCTAAGCTGAAATGACAAAACTGTCATTTGAAATTTAAACTTTTTTCATAAATGTACATTCTAGTAGAAAAAGACCGTGCCACAAATAAAGAAAAAAAAATACACCACCTGGAAAACCTATGGCTTAGTAAATATCCATTTGCTATATTTAAAAGAATGTACCTCACTGTTTTTTGTGGTTGTTGATTATCCTACAGAGAAAAAAAAATATGCTTGAAAGGTTTTGCGCTGTTAACGGCACAAACACGTGAAAGGACAAAAGTCAGAAATCCAAGACTTTACATTTATAGGGCAACATCAGCAATGCTTCTGAGTCTTTGTGTCTCTCTCTTAAACCTGCAGAGCTTTTGTGACGACACGTTTTCTAACTAAACAGTTTAAGGTGCTGGAGCTCAGTTTCCAGACTCAGTCCACTGGGAAGAGAAGCTGAACAGGGGGTTGATGCTGTGGTGGTGGGTGCTCAGGTGGGAGGGTTTGACAAAATGGCACCAAAGAAGTCACCTGCGTTGTAGGTGACACATGACGTATGTCCCTTCTTGCTTTCCATCCTCACTTCTTGGGTGTGCATAGTTCGAGCTTGCTGTATGCTCGACAGGGCTCTCACAGGCCTCTTCTGACACACGCACGGAGCTGCATACGCGTGAGAGCAAACACTCTCCAAAGCAGTCGACATGAGATGAGGTGGGTTTTTAAAGCACTGGCACTTTCCGGTAACAGCTGGTTTGGAAGGCATGGTGGCAGCTGATTGTTGTTCTTCTTGCTTTATGTGGTTTAGCAGAGCAGAGTATAGAAAATAGACACATTTCTCTACTGTATATTGCATATGTTGCAGCATGTTTGTCAGAAATGAATGAGGTCATCAATTCCAGTTTAGTTCTGCAAGAAAAAAAAATCCCCTGCCACCGGAAAGATAACTTAAAAACAAAAAACTAATTAAAATGACCTGACCTGTCCTGTCCTACTCCCTGACGAGATGATGGGAGATGGTGAAATGCAGCGGTAACAGAAAATAAAATGGCTGCAGGGATGAAAGATTCTGCTTACAACTGGTGGACTCCACAGGCTGTCCTGTGACCACCAGGTCCTCACTTCAGTCCCCAGTGCTACTATAACTTGACTCAAGAGTAGGGCTGCAAACTTCATATCATTAAAATCATTTGTTTAAACTTCTAACAGAAGGGAACTTGATCAGTGCTGCCAGATTTTGCCCAACTGAATTATGTTCTTTTTGCTTGGTGAGCAGATAGTGTTTATTTGGTGGCTTATGATGATTTGCGCAACTTTTTCTGCGGTCGTGAAAATTTAAGAGCAGGGCAGGTTTGTTTGGGCTACATGGTATCTGGCACTGACCCTAACAGGACAAATGTCCAGTTCCAAGTTTGTGTTAGTGATTAATTTATGAATCTTAGTAGCTGTGGCTCAGGAGATTGAGCAGGTCTCTTAAAGGGAGGGCTGGTGGCTCGATCCCCAGCTTCTCCAGTACACGTTTCTAAGTGTCCTTGAGCTAAACATTGATATCACTAGTTTTGAATGTCAGAGTGCTTGTGTGCACGACTAGGTTAGGGTTAGTGTAACTCAACTTTTTTTTACATCCAAAAATGAATGTATACAATCAGAGAGATGTTTCCATAGTAGATTTTAAAAACTCTTTAAATTCAATGGTATTGAAATGTCAACATTAAGTATTCAGCTTTGGATGAATTTCACAATAAAAAATTATCTTGCTTATAACATAACCAAAAGACCCTGGGTGCATGAGGAATTCTATTCATCCCGTTACTTTTGCTTTTTACACTAAATGAATTTGAAGTGTAATAGATTTAAAAATGTAAACACAAGCTTGCAGCCCTACTGAAGAGTAGTTTAACCCTCTGAAGAACAGAATGAAATGCTAGTATACAGATGGGGGAGTGATGATGAAGTTGTGAGGAGATGAGAGCAAAGCTCCGGCAGATCAGAGGCCTCCCAAGTGATGTCTGGCCTCCAGTTAACTGATCAGGTCTGAGCTCTTACTGGTTGTGTGTGTGATGAGCAGTGGAGGCCAGAGTTGAGACTGGCACCTGTTTCCTTGACGGGTCTTTGAGATACTTCATGTGATGAATGTAGTAAATGACAATGGAGGATAATGAGTGGCGGCTTCCTGAAATGCCCCTGTCTGTCCTTCAGACATAGCCATGTCTCATCAGATCCATTCATACATTTACCCATCCAGTCATCCGTGTGTGTCTGTCAGCCCAGTGCAACACACAAACACACCATTCGTCATTTTCAGGAGCAGGATTCATCAGTTTGTCCATAAATGAAATGGGATAAAATAAAAGAGCACAAGGGTTTAAAAAAAAAAGTCTTCACTTCCCTTCAAACTAAAGGGAAGATCAATAACTGGAAATTGGTCTTAAAAGAGGTGCAACAGTACTGCTAACAAAGTAATAATAATGCTGTAATGCGTGTGTGTTTGGTAGTTGTGTCTACATCTTGATTCCCTCCTGTTGGCTGAGCTGAGACAGGGTTTTCTTGATTCGGAGAGCGGTGAGTCGGGCGGCACCATTGGCATACCAACACTCCCTCATTATCTTTGCCATCACTCGCAAGGCCTGCAGAGGACAGACAAGTGTTAGTATGACTTCATCACATCATCATGCTTGTGCCTTTGGAAATACACTTATCTGTGGTTGTATGCATAAATGAGACTGATGTAAATGTTCCCTGAGTCTTTCCTTAAGGCAGGATCCTCCCCAGACTTACCAGGGTACTTATGCCACTCAAGAGCATGCACTGCCTTAAAATGTTAAAGTCAAAGAACACAAGTCTCACTGCACAGTAAACACCACTGATCATATGAAAGCCTGTAACATGACTATTCAGCAAGATGCTCACTGATAAGTGTCTGTAGCTATTTTAAGGATAAATCCCCTGCCCAGAGGTGGGTATACGTCCTATACCTGCGTATATGCACTACACCTCTGTGAACAAATATATATATATCTGAGATTGAGATTTAACTACATTTTTACTCTTCTTATATTTGCAAGAGATAGGGTTGATATGACCATTCAAAACTTATTCTGCTGTTTAGCAAAACTGCTCACATACAACTGTACAATCTGGATGTCACCATGATCCATGGGGCTCCTCCACTCTGAACTCTTGGTCCCAGTGCACCTACAATCTACATGCTTCCTATAAAGTATAAAGTCTACTTGTTAAACATAAGGGAAGCGTTGATTCTCACCTCAACAAAAGGCATCCAGCTTGAGGTGACAACCAGCCATACTTTTGTCTTCTTGTGTCTATAGCTGTAATGTACTTCAGTCTAAGACCGGTCAACACCATATGTTATGAGTCTAACAGTTTTAGAAGAATGTCTTCTCT